CATTACAGTTTTTTGCTGTTACATACTGAGTACAGACTGCAGTCATTACACTCTCCTGCAGTTACCTACTGAGTGCAGACTACAGTCATTGCAGTCTTTTGCTGTTACCAATTGAGTACAAATTGTAAACCTGGTGACTGCAGAAGACTGTAATGACTACTGCAGCGTGTAGACATTTTGATAACCTTCTTTATCTATTTACAAGGCAGTATAACCCATGCTTGGGCCCCCAGCTTTTCAGTGAAGTTGCTCAGAGTTGTGCTGAACTTCCCAGCAACTTGCAATGATCCTGATGGATTTTTTTCTGCCATTGTTAACGTGTAAACTGATAACGAAGAATGAAAGCAGCTGGCTATTTCAAAACCAAACTAGTTTGAAAACTATATTAACTTAATTCGTCTTCTGATCACCATCCAACAACTGCTGAATAACCATATGTGGAGCTGTGTGAGGGCAGGATTGGATTTGGCTGTGATACCCACAGCAGTTGATGGCGTTCATTGTGGAAGCACACACATGAAAAATGCCTGCTTTCACCCACAAAACATAGTCGCTCTATAGTATATCCTGTGAAGCACTTTGCGGTTTCCTCTTGACATGAAAGCCGCTAAACCAAATGTAAGAATTATGATTATTATTTTTATTATTATTATTATGTACCAGAGGATGCCCATGGACTTCAGTAAAATGTAAAAAANGCAAATGTTTTCAGGAGTGAAAATTGATCAGAGCAAACCTAAATAAACAAAATCACTTCTTTCTGTGAATGAATCTCTTCCTAAAATGTATTCCTTTCACTTCCTTATCTATACATCTCTCCATGCCCTAGCACCTCCTTATCTCTCTCATCTTCTCCTAACCTGCTCCTCTGCTCAATTCTTCCACTCAGCAAACTAGGGCTTGAAAACTTCTATTAAATCTCCTCTTAACCTTCTCTGTTCCAAGGAGAATAATCCTAGCTTCTCTACAACAACAACAACTTGGATTTACATAGCGCCCTCCACGCCCGACGGCATCTCAGAGCACTTCACAGTAACGCATCCTGGGGCCGAGCAAAGGGCATTGTTTTGAGGAGAGAGGAGGTCAGAGAGGTAGGGGGATTCAGAGGAGTGGAGGGATTTGAAAACAAGGGTGAGGATCTTGAAGTCGATCCTCTCTGGGACAGGCAGCCAATGCAGTCTGGCAAGGACTGGGGTACTTGGGGAGCGGAGTTTGGTGCGGGTGAGAACGCGGGCGGCAGAGTTTTGTATAATCTGGATTTTATGGATGGTAGTGGATGGGAGATCGGCGAGGAGGGCATTTGAGTAGTCCAGCCGAGAGGTGACAAAGGCATGGACTAGGGTTTCAGCGGCTTTCGGAGAGAGATATTAGCGGAGACAGGTGATGCATCGGAGGTGGAAGAAAGCGGTGCTGGTGAGGAACCGGATGTGGGGGAGGAAGGATAATTGGGGGTCGAACCTGACGCCTAGGTTGCATACGGGTTCGGAGAGTTTTAGAGGGAGGTCAGGAAGGTGGAGGAGGTGAGAACCGTGAGATTTTAGACTTTGACGAGAGCCAAAGAGTATGGCTTCCGTCTTGTCAACGTTCAGCTGAAGGAAATTTGAGCTCATCCAGCCCTTGAGGTCTGACAGGCAGCCTGTCAACCTCTCCTGAAAACTGAAGTCCCTCATTCCTGGTACCATCCTGGTAAATCTCCTTTGCAACCTCTCCAATGCCTTGACATTCTTCCTAAAGTGTGGTGCCTAGAACTGAACACAGTACTCTAGCTGAGGACTAACCAGTGTTTTATAAAGGTTCATCATAACTTCCTGACGTTTGTATTCTATGCCCCTATTTATATGCTTTTTAACAGCTTTATCTAACTGTCCTGCCACCTTCAAAGATTTACTTATATGAACCCCCAGGTCTCTCTATTCCTTCACCCCCTTTAAGATTGTACCATCATCTTATATTGCCTCTCTTCATTCTTCCTACCAAAATGCATCACTTTGCATTTCTCTACATTAAACTTCATCTGCCACGTGTCTGCCTATTTTACCATTCTGTCTACTTCCATTTGCAGTTTGCGACTATCCTCCTCACTGTTTACTACTTTTCCTAGCTCAGTATCATCTGCAAACTTGGAAATTGTACTCCCTATACCCAAGTCCAGGTCATTTATATAGATCAAAAACAGCAGGGGTCCCAATACTGATCCCTGGGAGACATCAGTGAACACTTCCCTCCAGTCAGAAAAACAACCATTCTCCACTACTCGCTGCTTTCTGTCTCCCAGCCAGTTCTGTATCCATGCTGCCACTGTTCATTTAATACCATGGGCTTCTATTTTGCTTAGAAGTCTTTTATGTGGCACTTTATCAAACACATTTTGAAAATCCATATAAACTACATCAACTGCACTATCTTCATCCATTCTCTCCGTTACTTCATCAAAAAACTCTATCAGGTTTGTTAGACACTATTTGCCTTTAACAAATTTGTGTTGGCTGTTCCTTATTAAGTCATATTTTTCTCAGTGAAAATTTATTTTGTTCCAGATTATAGTTTCTAGAAGTTTCCCGCTACTGATGTTAGGCTGACTGTAGTTTCAGGTTTATCCTTCTGCTCCTTTTTGTACAGGGGAGTAATGTTTGCAACCCTCCAGTCTTCTGACATCATCCAAGAATGATTGAAAGATTGTGGCCAGAGCCTCCGTTATTTCCACCCTTACTTCCCTCAGTAACCTGGGATGCATCCTATCCAGACCGGGTGACTTATCTACCTTGAGCTCTGACAACCTTTTTAGTACCTCCTCTCTGTTTATTCTTATCTTATCCAATTTCTCTACACTCTTCTCCAATATTGTGCCATTGGCTGCATCCTATGCAAAGTACTCATTCAGTACATCAGCCATGGCCTCTGCCTCCACAAGAAGATTTCTTCCTTGGTCCCTAATTGGACCTACCCTACCTTAGACTGACCTTTAATTCTTTATATGCTTTTAAAATACCTTAGGGTTCCCTTTTATGTTACCCGCTAATCTTTTCTCATTCAATCTCTTTGCCCCTCTTATTTCCTTTTTCAGTTCTCCTCTGTTCTTTCTATATTGTATTTGATTATCTTCTGTATTTTGGACCCGACATTTATCATAAGCCTTTTTCTGTTTTATTTTAATCCCTATTTCCTTATTCATCCAGGGAGATTTGGATGCCCTACCTTTTGTGGAAATGTATTTGTTCAGTCCCCGAACTTTCTTCTCCTTGAAAGCTTCCCATTGTTCATTAGCTGTTTTACCTACCAATCTTTCTTTCCAGTCCACCTTGGCTAGGTCCCTTTTTAACTCACTGAAATTAGCCCTCTTTCAATTAATTGGTGCAAGATTGATTTGAATCTGTCACAAAACAAGGATTGCAGCATATCATAAAATATGAAATATACTAAGAACACAATAGAAAGCAAACAAATAAATAATGGGACATCGATCTATTTGACTCTGTGTCCTGTCACGGTCACCTTATTTAAACTGACACTTTACCTTTTTATTGAGGCTATTATTGTCGATATTCTGTATATATTGAGATTTGGGGCAAAGTAAGATGCTTTTACTTTAAGTGCATTTATGGTCTAGGAACCGAAATATAGTTTAGAGTGGTAACGACAGCCTTGTCGACAAGAAGTCTATGACTTGGGTGAGTTATTGAAAGAAAAAAGCAGGAAAGGATCATGTGGGTCGTGGAAGGCTACATTGAAACAGGAGGAGATATAAAATGGAAGGGAAAAGTATCAATGCCATACACTGGAAAGGAGAGTAGTTAGGACAATATAAAAGGAGGGGTTTTGCTGAACTCAGGGTCACTTTTTGCCTTGAGTGTCGTCTAGGAGATAGGTGCCTGACCTGAGATCCTTGCCTCCAGGTCAAGATTGTTTTTGCTTTGTTAGCTAACTTTCGGTAAAGCTGCTAGTGTCATAGTTTAGTGTCAGGGTATATTCTATTCGTTAATGTGCAACAGTTATCATGTTCCGGGTAGTGTAAGTTAGGCATAGGGTTAAGGACTAATAAAACACCATTGAGTTTTCTATACACTACGTCTCGAGTCTCTGTAAAAAAAATCAAGGAGGAAGCAAACACAAGCATGTTTTTGCTGAAGTCAGCTGGCTGGTAGTGTGAAGGACGTTGATGAATGCATCTCTTTGTTTTGCAAAAAGGCATTGGGATCACCTGCCGGCTTGTATATTATCATTAGTGGAGTTTCACTCAGAGAGGGAACTTGCACGATACAGGATTCCCTCGATTTTGGACTCGAGGAAGTCCAGCATTTCCTTGCAGTGGGAGTCGGAGGAAAGAATCTGTGAGGCATGGCGGGAGGGCAGAGGAGCCGGTTAGTGGTGGAGAACAGGAGTCTGGGGTTGCCCTTTGCCTCCAGGATTAACCTGGAATAGAAGGACGATTTAGCCGAGGCGAGAGCGGAGCTGTAGATTTTGATGAGGTCCAGCTAGATGTGCCGGTGGACAATTAGGCCAGATTTGAGCCAAGTGTGTTCGGCAGCCTGCACCTGGTCCTTGAGTGAGCGGAGGTGGCTGGTGAACCAGGGTGAGGATCGGGAATAGGAGGCAGTTTGGGAGGTGAGGGAGGCAAGGGCATTGAGTGTGGTGGAGAGGGTGCTGTGGAGGAGAGTAAACACAGAGGATGGGTTGGTGCGGGAGGTGGGCCAAAAGGGGAGGAGTTCAGCTGACTTCAGGGCAGCGGAGAGGGCTGCGGGAGATCTTCTTCCACAGGTGGTAAAAGATGGTGGTAGGTTTGGAGGCAATGGGGAGAGGGATATAGGAGTTGAGGGAGTTGAAATGGCAGTCAGAGATGGCCTTGTCGGTGATGATGACATCTGAGATGCTGAGGCCGGGTGATCACCAGGTCAAGCGGGTGGCCATGAATATGGGTAGTGGAGTGGATGTGGAGGGAGAGGTGCGGGTATATATTTATGGGTGAGAATTGTCGCAGTACTGAAGAATTAGAAACTGTTTACCTCCACAGATGATGCCATCGTAGCTATCACAAACCCAGTTTTGACATTCACACCGAGGTCCATAGAATTTGTCTGGTTCATGAACAGAGCAGATGCATACTCCACAAACGCACCGTCCTCTACCGCTGCAGATCAAACCATTTTGAGACTGGCAATGTTTTTCAGATGTTTCCCGTGAAAGCTTGCAAGAACCTGATGTAAGCCTTTATATCATATGACAAAAACAGAATGCCACATTTTAGGAAACTGAAAACCCTTAAATATTGAATTTAATCAGAAATACCTCAAATAATAGTCACTGCAAATGCAAGACATTTTCTTCACTATGAATATATGCACATCAAATCTACAAATTGAAGATTGAGTTACTTTCGCAGATATAATATTATATACTAAAGATCGTGATGTGGTTATGGATCAGCTGGTTGTGACTGCCTATCTAAATGCAGGAAAGATGAGATTAGGAAGAACTGACTTTTACATTTTTCTTTACAATTAACTTTTAATTCCCTGGAATTATTTCTCACTCTCTCTCAATTATTACAGCTGCTTCAGCTGAGCAGAGGGACAGTCCATGACTGCCATCAATATTGCTTCATGACTGGCCAGTAGGAGTCCCAATCAATCAGTGAACTAGTTTGCAACCAGCTCTTCTCCCTCTTAGTTGGACTCTTTCACTTCAGTATGACATTTTGTTCAGAAGCCCAGCAAAGAAATCGCAAATCTTACTTCACTAACATTTTTAAATCAGTAGGAATCAAATATTATTGTCCAACATCTTGAACTAATACTTAAATTTCAATTAATTGAGTCTAGTATTTCTGATATATAGGATATATATATCAGAAATACTAGACTCAATTAATTGAAATTTAAGATATATATATATATATAACAGTAAATGCTGATAACTCATCACTCCAAGGGAAAATGGCTCAGGAACCAGAGTAGTTAATTAGGCATAGGTTCTTTTGGGCTACAAAGTGGCATTGTGACTGGTGAGGGCACTCAGTGGAAGTTGGGCATGCAACTGGCTGCTGTGTTTCACTCAAAAAATACAGTCAAAACTATTCTACAGTATATCCTGTGAAACGCTTTGAGATGTCTTTACAATATAAGGCGCTATATCAAATGGAAGGATTATTATATTATTAAAATCTCAGTTTGGTTTAGTGGTAGCACCCTTGCTTCTGAATCTGAAGGTTGTAGGTTCAAGCCTCACATTGAGACTTTGAACTCATAGTCTAAGATGACACTCCAGTGCAATGCTAGAGATGTGCTGCATTATTGGAGGTACCATCCTTCAGATGAGATGTTAAAACAAGGTCCCATATGCCTGTTCAGGTGGACGTTTGAAATCCCTGGCCCTATTCGAAAAGAGAAAGGAATTTTTCCCACTTTGCTGGCCAACAATACCCGAAATTGGCAATTCACTTCATGGTTATTTGTGAAACTTTTCTGTGTGTAAATTGACTGCCGCATTTGCCTACGAATACAGTCACTACACTTTGCAATAAATTCTGTGAAGTGTTTTAAGACATTTTGACAATGTATTAAGGCACTATATCCAACACAAGAATTATTAATTATTGTATTTTAATTGAATACGAAGGCTAACTGGATTTATCAGAGTATTTATAGTGCTGCACTGGGCTAAAAAAATCGCAGTCAGAAAATATTAGTAATATAGCCTCGATGCCAGATAAATTAACTGGAGTATGACAAAATATGACTGCTGTAGAGAATCTCCATGCACAACCATGGTAACTTGGCTTTGACTGTTTTTCCAACAGCTGATTTTGCAATCGGACAGTCATTTTGTTAAATCTTTTTATAAGATATTTAGCCCTCTTTACTTAAAACATGAGTTTCTGGTCAGTTGATATTGGCATTCCCATTCTGAAAATTTACTGCTTAATACTTAATTTCAATAGTGTTCAAAATTTTAATTCACATCCATTGTAATACAACCTCTACAAAACAGAGCTTAGATCACTAATCACTTCTTATTTGAGTATAGTATCTGAATGTCTTGAAGAAATTGAACAGACTGCACAATCTGACATTTGATCACCTGAATATTGTAGCAATTTAAACAGTTATATTTATAAATATTCCTTGAATCATAAGGATTTGTGGCATTCTTGTCTCTGTCAGCTAACTGTAATAATGCATAAAGATTAATTTCACTGCATTAATTTGATAGGAGACAAATATATTATTTTGTTTGAGACAGTTTCTTCCTTCATAGATGAAGATGAAAGTTGACAAAAGTGAACACTTTGGTAGATATTCAAGGACCTTAAAAATAACAGATCAAAATCTCAAAACTTTGGGAAAACATTATGAAATTGCTGTGGATTTTATTTCATATTCGCTTTTTACAATTAGATAATAAAGAAGCATTTCCATGTTTTTCACAGCAAGATACGTGTTACCATTTAGAATCTTCTTACTGGTATTGCTGGCAACATGCAATCAGAATTTCACTGTTTGCTGTGGTGCTGATGAATAACAAAAATACAAGAAAGCCAGACTCACCTTGAAGCATGTGAGAAGCTTTGAGGAAGAAATACCAGGATTACCAAAACCAGGGAAATGACCACTGACTTCACCAAAACGTCCACATGCATGTTGAGGCTGAGCAACAAGATTCTTATGCCTGGAGGAGTCTCAGATACTTTGTAACAGGCAGGCAGTTCGGCTGCAGAAGACTAGCTTCAGGCAAGCCAAAATCAGTTCGTCTTTGGAAGCCTGTTGCTTTTCCCTTACAAGTGTATTTGATTAATTTTGACTGTACTAAATGTCTGTGCCAAAGAACCAAATTCCAGAAACACAGGGAAGGTAATTAGAAACATTTGTAGACCCAGATGGTCCACCATTTACAGTCCAACAAATATTCACTTCCAAAAGAAGTTGTGGAAAAATCTGGTTTCTTTTTCTGCACATCTGGGTTATGGAAAATAAATGTATTCCTAATTTTATGTAAAGCTTTTGAAATGTGAATGATTGCCATCATTATGTTACAAACAATAACTAATAACATATTCGCCAGTAAATCACAACTTAGGAGTTCTTGTTAAAATATTAATATAACAAGCTAACTCTTTAATATGGTTTTAACTGCTAGCAATGATAAAGTAGCAATAGTGAAATTCTCCTCTATGTAATAGATTAATCCAGATTAAATAGATTATATTAGACTCGACAATAACAGGCATAGTTTGTTGCACCAACACTAATTGAATCAAAAAAAAAAAAAAAATCAAAAAAAAAAAATTTAGAATTACTTGTATTGGTTTTTATTTACAGGTAATTCTATTATCATGCTTAATAATAAAATACTAATCCTTACATTTGGTACAGCACACTTAACAACAGGAAGTGCATTAACTGTGTTTTGTGGATGAACATAGCAGCCAATTTTGTGCACAGCAATATTCCACAAACAGCCATGAAGTCAATGACCAATTTTTTGGTGGGGATGGTTGGCCAGGACACTGGGAGAAACTCCTGTTTCTTTTTGACGTGTTTATAAATAGGAACCAGTAACGAGTATTTAGAGGTTGACAAAAGCAAAACAAAACATGGTAAAATGTACCATATCAATCACTTTGTTTCAAAATTGTACTTGTAATTTTTTTTCTAAACACAAACTATTAATTGGCACCAATACACCCAGTATTGCAAGTCATAAGACATGATTGAAACCATGACTGTACAGTGGATTTCATAAAAGTGAGATATTTTAACACATAACATAAATGATCCATTTCCCAATAATGTAAATTGGCAAATTTCAAATTTGACTTATTCACGTTATTTGCTGATGTCACCGAACTGTTTGCAATGATCTTTATTATAAATTGTAGCTTGAAGCCTGAAAAGAGGAAATATGATAACAGAATATTCAATATCTATCTCTAACTGAATGGTACCATTTGAAAATAATTGGAAATCATGTATGACTTTGTATCTGATAAATCCAGTCACCTTCATTCACTGAAATCAATTTTTAAAAATTATTGGAAGGAATGAAGAGCACTGAATTGTCTCTCCGGAAGATAATTACCAGTTTTTTATGTATTTCTTATTATGTTACATTAATGCACCTATTGAATTATTAATCTATTGAACATTTGTAGAAAAAACATAGGGTAGTGAAGTAGAACAGCACATTGGAAGTCTGTTTATGTGAGCCATCATTAAGAGATCTTAAGTGGATTATTAGGAAAGAGAGAAAATCCCACCCGTCATGTTCTATGTAATGCTCATTGGAATTTTGTGAATAGTCCAAACTATCTGAATGATGCAAACAGTTATATCAGTTCCAATGATCTAAGTAAGATGTTAAAGTATGATGTAATTGGTGAGCTACTGAACTGGATACATGATTTCTTCGCAACAGCAAACTATGATGTTTGTCTCTCCACCTCTTATCAGAAATCAATGGACTGGTCCCTATTCTACTTCTATTTGCTAATCGCTTCGAGAAAATCACAAACGTACTTTTGCAATTCTGGTTGATGACAAACCTACAGAATTGAAGAATGGATAGACAAATGTAGCCTTCGGGGCTGAGAAGACTAATAGCTATCAAGAAAAATTGATGTTGTCTATTCACGTTTACACTATAAGGGATTGTATGCTGTCTTCAGTTCTGAACACTCAGCTCCATGGCTTATTAATCACATTTGATCTATACCAAACAAAGTGATAAAGATGATTAGAAAAAACTGCTGTTTGAGAATACTCAAATAATTATTTGTTACTGTCTGCAACTTCAGTGATCTACAAAGCTTATGACTGCCCATTGATGGTACAATATATACTTCTGATTGACAGGCGGCAGCAAAAAAAAACACTGTTTCTTCCAGAATGTAATATAGTTCAAAGCCATGCTGAGCAGTAACATTGATGAGACTGTCACAGTTTACTCTTTGCAACACTACAGAGAGATGTGCAGGTTATAATTCTCTAAAAAAGGAACACTAGGATCTCTAATGCTTAATCCATCTCAATATGTAGGCATTTGCCTACAAATGCACAGTCACTACAATTTGGAATAAATTGCAAAATTGGTCTGGATAAAGAGGGCCCATCCACTCTCCTCCATCACAACTGCTCTACCATCTCCCATCACAGTATCAAGCTGCTTTTTAAATAGTTCAGAGACATGATGGCGCATGACTGCATGATAAGATACTAAACCAATGAAAGGATTATTATTATATACATTGCTAGAAATAAGGAATTTTGCAGCTTCATTTTAGTGTTCTATGTTAATCTAAAGTGCCTGCACAGATTCAAAAACTTCCATACTATCTCTTCAGTTTGTGTAACACTTTCCCAGATAGTTGCCACCTATAATTCTATTTCTTGCATTACAGGACCATACATTAAAGTATCAGAAATGTATAACTTTCCTTTTGGTATCCCAGCACAATTTCTCTAACTCTCTTTCTGCTTCAATAAACTGGTAGAGTCAAATTTGAACAGACATCTTGTATGTAGTTAGCAGATTCAGCTTTTGTTCTTTTTATGATGTAGCAATAAAGAAAAAATGTGCATTGGTACAGGCCTGATGTCAGGTGAGTGGGTTGTATAAAGCTATATAAATCTAAGATATGATTGATTTTGACTGTGGAGGATAGAAAGTAGCAGAAATACAATGAGTGCTGAAAGCCGACATTAAAGATTTAGAATAAAATTTGCTGGTAGGAACACAAAGGATATTGTTAGAGTAAGTGAATTAATGTTAGGATGGACAACTGGATGAGTAAAATGGAAAGAGAAAGGTGATGAAAGATAGAAATATGCCAACCAAGTAAAAAGCAGCACAAAATGGAAAACAATAGGATGGGGAGCAACAAGATAAAAAGTGACAGGCCAGGAAGGACTATAATAACATGGAAAATTGAAGAGGGACAGATCAGGATGAAGAGCAATGAGATGGTAAGAGACAGGCTAGGAGGGTGAATAATGGAATAACAACAACAACTTGCACTTATGTAGCGCCCTCCAAGCCGGGTGGTGGCTCGAGTGTTTAACAATGGTAGAACCCAAGGCCGAGCCAGGGGGAGGGGGAAGGTGACTGTAGGAGCGGTCGAAAAGAAAGGTCTTCAGGCCAGACCTGGAGATGGGGAAGGAGGGGACAAGGCATAGGGGTTGAGGGAGGGAATTACTAAAATATTATACTAATCCACAAGATATTTACTATTGAGCAAAATAGATTCCAGAACGAGACATTGGCAGCCACTTTCTTCATTTAGTTACTTTTGTAAACATCAAGATTTGTTTTCTTGGAACATACAATGAAGTCAAGAGCAAAGGAGGGTCAAATAAATGTATCATAATAACTAAAAGAATTAAGAAATTCACTAAACTTCATTGCATACCATAGTTGTATCAAAAGCAAATTAATGACCTGAAAAGTTTTTTTTTTAAAAAGCTGGATTTCAATGCCAGAGGCCAAAAAACATTGCCAAGATGGCTTGCCATAAAAGAATAGTTTGGCTTGGCTGAAGGAAAATGTTGGAAAAATCTTCAAAACCATTTCTGTGTGGAAAACATTTATCCCAGATGTCTGGTCATTTTAAATTATTTTCATTTCATATGATAAAAGTAGTTGGAGAAGCACTTGCAAATGCAACACAAGTAGGAAGCAATAGAAGTCTAATTTAAATACAAAAAATCCTTCATGTGATTCATGTGATAATTTGATTGAAAGTTTTTTCCTTCTGCAGCTTTTCAACCTACATTTGAATGTCTTTAGAAAAATAACATCATCAACTGTCTGCCTAAATATGCATAGCAGACATGGTTATAAGTAAAAATCTGCCCTTTGTCCAATTTTGGGAGTTCCATTTCCTGCAGGGTCTGAACCATTGAGAAGTGTCATTGTCTACATTGTATTATTTGTCAATCCACAACACAGTTTAGATTCAATAGTTCCTTTATTTCAACCTTAGACATTCTGTTCAGTTCCTTTCCCAGAATCCTTGTATGCTCCCTGCTTGCTCCTCATTGTCAATCTCCAATTGTCAATTTAGCCTTAAAGCAATATGCAACACCTTCCTTCTTTTAGTTTCTTCTCTTCTTTTCAATCTTGTTCTATCATTCTTTCTGGTCTTTTTATTTCTCTTAGGCATCTGGTTGTTCTTATCGTTTCTGCAATTCCTCGATCTTCCTTCTGCTTTTCCTCCTGTATTTTCTTTATTTTTCTTTGACCTCTAATGATGTTTGTTTATATATCTTTCTTTTTTCATCTTTTACCCAATATGATCTGGGGTTCTTATCTTACCGCCAAATTTTCCTTTTATCCATCCTTCCATTTTTAGGTTTTTCCTCCGAAACCATATGACTTCTCCTTTTTTGAAAGTTTTTTCTTTCTGCAGTTCTTGCCCTTGTTTCTTCCAATTTCTTTTTCTCTCTACCTATGGCCTCAATTTTGTTTCTTTCCTCCCATGTTAACCCATCTCTTAATCTTCTGGACATCAGCATCTGTGCCGGTGGCTGTCCCTGGTCATCTATCGGTGTATTTCGGTAGTCTAGTGATGCCAAATGTTTACTTTTCCTTTGATTCCTCAGCTTTCTTCCACATTTTCTTTATTGTCTGTACTGTTCTTTCCACCATCCAATTGCTTTGTGGATATCCTGGTGACTATGTGCTGCGGTCTATGTCCCACTGTTTCGTGAATTT